ATTACGAATATACCCTTAGCCTCCGAAGTCACAATCTAACACTTGGATTACTTATACCATAACACCCACATCCGAAATGGGCCAAATCCTTCCTTTACCAAGGCCCTAAACCTTATGAAAACTGATTATTGGGCCGCAGTCCCGAGCAGCGAAGCACTTTCAAAACCAGGTGTTACAATAAGGGAGAAGTATGTGAGAGAGAAGGTAAAGGGGAGTTGTTGAATTGATCGAAAGAAGATATACGAAGTAATGAAGAAGATGGATATATTGATTAATAGATAGGAAATGGTAAATTGGTAAAATAATATATAATTTTGAATATTAGATAAAAAAAATTAATATATATATATATATATATATATATATATATATATATATATATTAAAAAGGGACTACACTTAGGAACCGTGAAGTTCCTAAGCTTTTGGTAGAATTCGTCCTCCATCTATGTCTGCTTTTACAATCCTGGTATGTTTCTTTTAGGAGGTCATATTTTGTCATTTTCTATATTATGTGTCCACGTGTTGTTGTTTTGGCTTTCTTTCACTGTTTTGTCCACCAATAAGGATTCGATTTCTGTTACTCTAACTTCCCGATCCTTCCACCACCGCTCAGTTTATCATTCCCTCGTCGATCCACCCTCTTCCTTTTTGTGTCTTGGACCTCTACGCTTCCCCCTCATCTGATACAGCGACTCCATTTTCACAAATTCTCCACCGCCTCATACGCGTACTACACATCTAGAAGAAGAGCCTTTCCATTACAGAGCACCAGTTACGTTCCTTACGCAAGGCGTAGACCCCTACGTACAAACCGGACCCTGCCTCCTCGCCGTCGATTATAGTTGTGCACCCTCCTACGGTGCTAGGGCTCCAATGGGTCGACTGGTGTTTTTCAGTTGTTCTTCTCAATATCTGTCGCTGTCTCCATATCTCTCGATGTCTCCAAATCCCTTCCAAACCTCCAATGTCTGTTGATGTCTTTAGTTCAATCAATTTGGTTCCGCCATAAAAGAATCCTAATCGCCGCTGTTTGATCTAGACGTTCCAGGTAAAGGCCTTGAACTCTAATTTGTTTATTCACTTCAGACTTCATCACTATTTCTAATGTATTTTTTGGGTGCTGTAAACTACGCAAAGAAGAAAGATTGAACAACTTCCAAATTTTCCTTTCCCCAGTTTCGTTTCTGCTTCTATTCGTCGACATACCTGATTCAATGTTTAGGAAGACACGGAAGAAAAGTCTACATCATTGCCACCACCGGTCTCAGCCGCCACCACCGGGACAACCGATGGCCACCACTACTTTCAGCCACCAACCTAAGGTAGTATCCACTTCTCTTTCATCATTTTTACCTAATTTACTTCTGAAAACTCAATGTTTGTTGCATAATTAGGGGTTCAAGAACCACTTCCAAATATAAGCAACATGAGCCACGATTTCGGCTTCAGCAAACTTTGATTTGGAAACGGGCATTTAAGGGTGGAGAAGATGCGTTCAAAATTATTCCAAAGTCAAAGGTTTGAATTTTTAAATCCAAGTTTTCATCGTTAATGATGAGTACTATTAAAATTAGTGCTTATCGTTGATTATGAATGTGATTTGGTTATAGCGTTTGTACATTTAATTTCTTCTTTTTTAATCTTTTGCCATTCTTGCTTGGATGTTGCATTTGGTCAAAGAAGTTTTTACCTAGATGAATCTTTTTTTTATAGGTTTCAAACATGGAATAGCAGAACACGGAGCGGGACTATAACTGGATTCATGGCTGGACACAAAGTTGAAGTCGATCCTAGAGTCCCATACCTCATTCTCCTCAACCATGTTAACAGGTCCAAGAAAACAAACCCAGTAAACTGATGTTATTTTATTTTCCTAAATTTTATGTTTAGTTTATTACCTTTTGTCGCACATCTTCTGCAAGATTGATTGTGATTGTTTAACGGTGTCATAAAATTGCTATTGTAGATATAGTGAAATTGAAAATTAAAATACATGTATTTTTATTTAATTATGAGAATGTTTGTTTGTTGCAGTGTTTTAGCGGATGCAGCCATATCGAGGTTTATGGTATACCTATTTATTTAGAGATTTTTTTTCCTTTTTTCTTTTTATTGAAATGGAACAGTTCTCGATAAATAAGTTGGACATTACTGAAAATCCATATTTGCATATTTTTACTTGGGTGGATGCCTTCTTTGTGCAACTGGTAAATGTTTATCTTGATTTCAAAACTTGGCCCTTTAAATTTTGTTCTAAAGGACTAAATGTAAGAAATTGCAAAGTACTTTTTGTTTTCTTTTTCTTATTACAACATTGTATTTTGAAAAATTTACCGTCTATAGCAATTAATTACATTTTTATTTGCATGATGATGACATGGCACAAGTTAGCAAGTTTTTATGCCATGTCATTATTCATATTTTTTGACGTGAGCTGACATTTTTTTTGATAAAACACTTTAAAATTTTAATTTTTTTAACAAAACTTTTTAAATAATAGCATCAAACTTATTTCTTTTTTCAAACATTGTACACTTTTTTTATTGAGAATATTCTGTAAGGAAAGAAGGAACAAAAATTAATATGTTGGAAGTACTTTTATGTAAAAAATTAAAAGTACAATGTTGTAATAAGAAATGAAAGTTCGATGTTATAATTAAATTTTGGTAAAAGCATTGAAGTATGAAAGTGTTTCATAATAATATTTTCGCCACTTCAGCAAAAATATATTACACATGGCATGGACATCCTACATGGACAATGAGATGGCATAAAAACTTGTGATCTTTCAATGCCATGTCACCATAATTCAATTTAAGAGGTTACTTATTTCTATAATAATAGTAATCTGAAAGTAAAATGTTGTAATAAGAGAAATTGTAAGTTCAAATGCTATAATAAGTAAAGTATGTAAAGTACGTTGCTATTTATTGCATTTAGCCCTATTCTATTCTAAATGTTTTGACTTTTTTTTAGCTCCTTGGAGAAATGTTATTGGATCGTTCAAATACCCCTGTGGTGGTTCGATATGTTTACTCATTGGATAACATAAGAATTATCATGAATCTTCTTAGTGTATTTATTTATTACATCCTATATTATTATTACATTTATATATTTTTATTATAATGTTTGACCATTTTTCTTCCACTGTAGGATTCAAACAAGACCATACAGCTAGAAGCCTTCCATTTGTTCAAGGTAATACACATGTATAACAAATAGTCAAATTTTAATTCCGATACAAATATTTGTTTTTAAAAATATGTTTTTTTTGGAATAGTCGTTCCCTACTAACCAGAAAAAAGCCACCTTTAGGTTCATGTGCGTTTTCAGTTTTTTTTTTTTTTAAATAAATCTACCATTATATAGCATTGTATTTTTAGAAATAGCAGGTATAGCATATAGAGCATTGTAGTTTGATTCTTTATAAAATTACCAACATTTAACATTTCATTTTCTTATAGCAACATGGGAAAAATTAGATCCAGTATATGTAAGGAATTATAAAGTTTGTGGTTATTTCTTGTTTCTCTATCCAGAATCCAAACATCTATCATGAGCTTGGAGGGTCCGAAAACTTTTACAGGTTTGTTATTTTGATTGTTCAAAAGACGTTAATACTCTCCTCATACTCATCATTGAAAATAGCCATATTATAGTACTGATATTCTTGCTTTATTTTTGGTTGTTTGTTCCGACTTCCCGCCATTGTGACAACACAACCAGGACGGGATTCAGAAGAAAGAATGAAAGAAAGCTTTGAAGAGGTTTGTATCAGTACTCTATTATTGACAGTATTTTTCTTTTATGATAGACCCCTGTCAATGCAAACACGTACAAAAATTTTATATTTACTAACGTAATTTTCGATTATTCGTTTTGAATTAGGGTTTCTATTTTTTTAGTATGGTTGAAGGAAGCCAAGGTCAGTTGAAAGTTTCAAGATGCAAAAAATGTTGGTGATGAAGGTGGATTTGCTCCTAATAGTCAAGAAGACAAAGAGGGACTTGGGTTGCCTAAAACAGCCATTGGTCAAGTTAGGAAAACTTGTGATTAGGATAGATGTTTCTACATCTAAGTGTGGTCAGATTTCTAAATAACAAAAAGAGTATATATGTCTTTTGAATATACAAGGAATTGGGTTTCCTAAGTTTGAAATCCTCATCCATGCATAAATAAATATTTAGTAACAGTAATAAAAGGCAATGAAATACCCTCCAACCCCCGCAACTCCAACACCCGCAAACTATAGCTATAGATGAAGCAAATGCGAGAGTGCAAAAATAGAGAGAAGATAAAGTACAGGTTAACATCAGATAACAACTAACGAGTTTCGATTGCCAAATGCCAACACGGGAGGTTATCATTTGTGGTTAAATGACATCTTATGTTGCAATTACTCGGGTAGTGTCAATTACTTGGGTAGTGTTTGGTGCATGATAGAATCAGAGGAAGGAATAGAATGATTCATTCCATTGGAATGAAAAAGAAATTTTTTGTTTTCCTTTAATATTGTTATATTTTTAGCAATTAAATGTATTGTTGTATGTTTCGCACCTATTTAAAACAATCAAATTTAAATTTTGTCGAAAAGTCCTGACCCAAAAAAAAAGATCACATATCCGGACCCCGCAATGCGGGGTCACTCATCTAGTTAATAATAAATTGATATAATCTTAATTAAAATATAATTTTTGATATTGATGTAATTTTTATAATTTTAGAAGGATATACACGTAATATTAAAATTTATAAAGATGTTAAAGTAATATTTAGAGTTTGTAAGGATATATATATATATATATATATATATATATATATATATATATATATATATGAAGTATGTTCAATCGAGAACATTTTTACCGTGAAAACATTTAAGAACAAATTTGAACCACTCATTAAAAAAATAGTATTTATTTCTTTAATAATTTATATATTATTTATTAATATTATAAAAAAATAAAAAGATAACCCACCCATCCTACCCTCACACCCCACGTACCTCGCCCCTATGTTGTATTTTCATTTTTTAGAATATTACATTTCAGTGCACCACCAAGACTTTCAGACCACCATCTACCGTCGTCGGACCGCCACCTACTGTCGCGGAGCGCCACCCACCGTCGTCGGAGCACCACCGCTTCGAATCTTCGTGAAATTCCGCCGCGAACCACCTCCGATCGTCTCTTCTCTTCCTAAACCAACTCCATCTGCCACTCATCTTCCTTCGCCGGAAAGGTACCTCTCTGGAAACTACCTTGTCGCCTCCTTCTCATCTCCTTTCCGATCTCGTTTTTTATCACTAGATCTGGTTTCATCCACCTCCATGAGTCACCGGATCTAGATTAGAAGTCGAAATCAATCCACCAGATCTGGTTTCCGATCTCCACAAAACATATCACGAATCTGAATAAATGTCCATCGAAATCAAATACAATAAGAGGTGCGGAGGAGGTAAGGTAGGAGGTCCAGTTCCTAGATGAGTTATAGAACATCATGGCTGAAGGCGGCGGTGACGATGAGTTTGAAAAGACTCTGCCACCAGTGGTAGTTTGCTGCCTCCCATCTGGTTGTGGAGTGAGCCTGAGGGTGGCCACCGGTCGACATGTTTCATCGGATCTGAAATAAGGTCACACATTTGAAGTAAAGGTTTGACCACTATCATCGGAGAGGAAGACGTCACCGGAAGGGAGGATCGTTCACCTGAATAATGTTTGTGAATGGATTGATGAAATTGAAGGTGTATCCATAAGAGACACTTCAAGGAGATGACCGGCGAACAAATATGTTGTCTTCACAGGTATTATTTAATCACATCACTAATTTACTCTTAAAAAGAATGTATTAATAGACAGATTTTTATGATAGTTGACTTCATTTGGAGTTTTCCACCGTGATACGAGTTTTCCATCGTGATACGTCGGTTTCTTTCACAGTGACGTAAAGTATTTTGAAAAGTGTGAATTGAAATTGATTGGGGTTTTAAATCGAGTTCTTTATCACAAAAATTAAGATAAAGTAAATATAGAGTAGTAGGTTTTCTGATAAATTGGGGTTGTCATATATTTTTTCATTATCCAATTTTTATTTCTTATAAGTTTATAAATGATTTTTGATAATATGCCTATGTTTTTGCTATATTAATCCGTCTACCTTCAGCAAAAAAATTCAAGTTTTATTTGACTTTAAAACTTCATGTACCCTTTTTCTTTATCTACCTTTTTATCTTTTGGTTTTTGGTGTTTTAGAAAGTTATAATTATAAATTAACATTTAAAATTCCATTATTTCATATATCTTAATTTAATTTAAATTATGATCGCTTTTGCTTTGCTTTTGCTTTGTTTTTCAAATTTAACTATTTCATTTGAATTATTTATTACACAATTAAGAATAAATTTTCCTAATATTTTTTTGGATATTCTTTACAATTTTTTCCTACGAATTGTTTTTTATATAAAAAAAAAAGTCTCCTTTACAACTTTATTTCTCGTGTATTTTTTATAAACAATACACGAGAAAAATTATTTAGTCGATAACATGAAAAATGAGTCTATTTAGATATGAATCATATTTGATTAAATATATAAATTCACATGTAATTAAATACATGAGAATAAATATTGAATCAAAACGTTAAATAGATATTGAAAACAATTTTTTCCCACAGAAATCATATGTGATTAACTACCTATAATCACATTTGATTAAAATACATGAGATAAATTATTAAATCGAGACGCGAAAACGAATATTTTCCATATAAATCATATGTGATTAAATATATAAAAAATCACACATGATTAAATACTCAACCAAAAATTATGTCATTAATATATATAAAGTCACATGTGATTAAATACAAAACAAAAATGAATTGGTAATTCAGTTGTTGTTCTTGTATGTTTATTTACATGAGATTATATGTATCTAATCAGATATGATTTATATGGACAAAATTCGTTTTCGTGTTTTCAATTTGATAGTTGTTCTTGGTCCATATTAATCATATGTGATTAGATACATATAATGACATGTGCTTATGTGTATCTAATCACATATGATTTATGCGACTATGATTCATTTTCGCGTTCTCGATTCAATAATTGTTTTTTTTCCACTTTAATCATATGTGACTAAATACATTTAATCAGATGTGATTATATGTTTCTAATCACATATGATTTTATTTGGAAAAAATGAATCTTGTCTATATAAATCATATGTGATTAGATACATACAATTACATGTAATTATATACACGATAACAAATATTGAACAAAGAACACGAAAACAAATCTTTATCCAAATTAATCATATGTGATTAAATACATCTAATCACATGTGATAATATGAATCTAATCACATATGATTTATGTGGACATAATTTATTTTTGCTTTGTCGATTCAATAGTTGTTCTCATGTATTTTATCACATGTGATTATATGTATAATCGTATGTGATTAAGTACATGAGCAAACCTATTGAATCGAGAATGCAAAAATGAATCTTGTCCACCTCAAATCATATGTGATTATATACATATAATAGAATGTAATTAAATACAAAAAACAATTATTCAATCGAAACCGCAAAAATAAATATTGTCCATATAAATCATATCTGATTAAATACATATAATCACATATGATTATACGTATCCAATCATATATGATTTATGGATAAGATTCATTTTCACATTTATGATCTATATAGACAAAAAAAAATAATGATGTCTATATAAATCATATGTGATTAGATGCATATAATCACATATGATTATATACATATAATCACATATGATTATATACACGAGAACAACTATTGAATCGAGAACACAAAGATAAATATTGTCCACATATATCATATGTGATTAAATGCATATAATCACATGTGATTATATGTATCTAATCAGATAGAATTTATGTAGAAAATATTCATTTGATTAATTACATGAGACCAACTATTAAATCGAAAACGCTAAAAGGAATATCGCCCACATAAATCATATATGATTAAAAATATAAAATCATATGTGATTATATGTATCCAGTCACATATGATTTATATGAATAAGATTCATTTTCGCCTTCTCGATTCAATAATTTTTCTTTGTCAACTTTAATCATATGTGATTAAATACATAAGAAAAATAGTAAATCAAGAACGTGAAAACGATCTTATCAATATAAATCATATGTGATTAGATAAATATAATCATATGTGATTAAATACATATAATCAAATGTGATTGTATACATGATAACAAATATTGAATTAAGAACACGAAATCTTTATCCACATTAATCATATGTGATTAAATACATATAATCACATGTGATCAAATACATGATAAAAATTATAGAATTGAAAACGCGAAAACAAATATTGTCCATATGAATCATATGTGACTGGATACATATATATAATCACATGTGATTATATACATCGGAGCACATATTAAATCAAGAACATGAAAAAAAATAATTTCCACATAAATCATATGTGATTATCATCACGCGTGATTAAATACAAGAAACTAACTATTGAATCAAAAATGCAAAAATGAATATTATCCACATATAATTTATGTAGACAATAATCATATTCACATTTTTTTGATTCAATAATTGTTCTAATGTAATACATATAATCACATGTGATTATATGTATCTAATCACATATGATTTAAGTGGACACTAATCATATGTAACTACATTCATATATAATCACATGTGATTATATGTATTTGATCACATATGAATCTTCATATATAAATCATATATGATTAGATACATATAATCACATGTAATTTTATCAAAATTTAAAAATGGGGTTGAAAGGTAAGAAAACATATCCCAAATAGAGGACTACAAGCAAAGACAAAATAAAGAAATATGTACATAAGTTTTATAAGATTAGAACAAAGTACTGAAATCGTCCCTATGGTTTGTCAAAAATCATGTGTTTGGTCCCTATCTTTTTTTTTTGCACTCGGACCGTCCTCAGATTTTGATTTTGTTACGGTGTAAGTCCCTGCCCTATAAGAAATGACTATAATACCCTTGTTATTTTTTTTCAGCTTTTTTTAAAATTTTTATATTTAAGGAAAACAAATTAATTGATTTATTGATAGGTGGGACCACTTGCACTCCCAGTCCACCTCCACTCTAACCACTCCGACCACCGGCTGCCATCAGCCACCGACAACCGACACCTGCCACCGGAAAAATTGATCCACAACCTGTAACACCACCCGAATCAAACCTTAAACCATAATCTAACCTCAAACCTGAAAATCAACTAACCCTTCTAAAAATCAAACCAAAATCAAATCTTAAAAAACAAAAATCCTTAACCAAATCAAACCCCCAAACTCAGTTACCGCCATGAAACCCACCTAAAAAGTCGAGAGTCAGAGTTTGGATGTTGAGAGGGAAGAAGAAAAAAGGGATGTTAGCAATGGTGTTATGCTTATCGCTAGATGGTGGTGGTTTTCGTCGGAGTTGAAAGATGGCAGCGGTGGGGTTAGGTTTACTGGAAGATGAGCGACTGGGAAGAAATTATCGCCCTTAATCACCTCCCACTGTCACTAACCACCACCGGCTTAACCACCTCCCACCGGTGTTAGATTTACCCAGAACATATTCTCAAATTTATTTTTATCCCAGAAGTGCCCTAGAATCGTGAACCTAGATGCAATACACGAATACAAGATCGATAAACAGACCAGATACACCTTATGCAAGATCGGTTCAACAAACTCTAAGTCCCTAAGCATTGACTTCCTGGTTCATGGTTCATCAGGTATAAGATGGAGATGGAGTCGATGAAGACTAAGGAGAAAGAGTGAGAGAGGCGGTGCTGATTTTTCCAGGTTCACGTTTTCTGGTGACGTCGACATCGTGGCTAACATTTTTCTAGAGACGAAGAGGTTGTGATGGATCGATGACATATATGGGGAGAGAAAGGTGATACAGAAGCATGGTTTTGATGGTGGTGCACTGGGTCCATGATTCAGGAATATTTGTGGGTTAAACTCAGTTTTAGGCGACGAAAGGAATAGAGGCGGAGATAGGTGGCGGCTGGAAGACGTGAAAAAGATGATGAACAACAACTTAGGGCTGACGAAATTTGAAAGGTGAGACAAAGTTTAAAGGGTGGGCCCTTTTCCTTTTTTTATTATATATATAATAGAAGTTATAAAAAGTCTGAAAAAAATAAAACAAAAGGGCAAATATAGTCTTTTTATATCTACGAGGGACCAAAAACGCAACAAAATAAAAATGTAAGGACGATCCGAGTGCAAAAAAAAAGATAGGACCAAACATGTAATTTTTGGCAAACCACAGGGACGATTTCAGTAATTTGTTCATAAGATTAATACAACAAACACAAGCTAAATAATGTTATAATTTTTGTGTAGGTTCTCGGAAAGGAAATGATCCATTTTGCTCATGCTAGCTAATTTTCAAGATCAAGGAGGTGAGTGCTAACTCTCCTATTATGTAGGCATTACTTGTTTTATGTTATTGTTCACAGATACCCTAATAACATGTGATTATGTGTATCTAATCACATATGATTTACGTGGCTAAGATTCTTTTCAAGTTTTTGATTCAATAATCCTTTTTTTTATTACTTTAACCATATATAATTAAATACATTTAATCATATGTGATTATATGTTTCTAATCACATATGATTTTATTTGGAAAAAATAAATTTTGTCTATTTAAATCATATGTGATTAGATACATACAATCACATGTAATTATATACACGATAACATATATTGAACCAAGAATGCGAAAACAAATCTTTATCCAAATTAATCATATGTGATTAAATACATATAATCATATGTGATTATATGAATCTAATCACATATGATTTATGTGGACATAATTCATTTTTGCTTTGTCGAT